GGCTTTCACCACCGGGATCCTCCCTGAAGTCGGCACACAAGAGCCAGAATTGAGATCCCAAGCCCGAGGGGCTCCTACCAGGCTATGGCAAGCTGCGCCTGTTTTTGTAGTTGAACGTCCTATTCTCGGAGCTTGGGACGCAGAGCAAATTCCCCTGAACTGGCCGTTCTGCGTTCCTCATTGTCTTTGATGTCTCGGTGATGGTCAGATCGCGCATTGCACTTTCTTGAAGATGCTTGGCGGATCTTTTTGCCTCAAGCTCAAGAGACGATTGGATGTTGGTTTGCGTTTGGACCCCTGGACACCTCAGCATTGCCGTACCCTGAGCCTTCCTGAGGCTCCGAAAGGCTTACGCAGTGCTTAAGCCATATTATGGTTCCCCCAGGCTGTGTGCTAAGCATTTTGGGCTACTCACGGCTCCGGTGGTTTCTGAAGCCAGGCTATATGGCTTGGGAAAGGCTGAGGAGACCACCGAGCCAGCACCGCCCGACACCCAGAAGGCCGCAGGAAGCAAACATAAGTGTGCGGGTGCTTTGGCGAACGTGGGGCAAGATGGCAGGATTTCATAAGTGTATTTTTCATGAATCCTGAAGAAAAATCCTAACTCTAAGATTAAATTCGCAGGATTTTGAGAATAACCTGCGATTACAAAGTAAAGTGAATGAATGCATGTGAAATAGCAGATGTACACGACGCATCACATTGGGCAACCCTGTATTCCGAAGAGTAGTCAACAGGACTGATTTTGTTGTCCAGCTCACATTCCCTTTTTTCCTCTCATCAGAACCAGTATGGTGTCCGAGGTCAATGGTCATCGAGCCACACACCCCCCAGCGAGGATCAGAATCGGGCCGTGCCTGGTCGACATGAGCATCTAACGGTACACAGAACTGTTTACGACACTTGCTCTGGAACAAAGAGGATCAAGCCTCCAAGCTGCTGCCCATGAACCTCCGGCTTGATCTGCAGCCCATTCTTGCCCGCATTTGCTAGGACGCGAGCCTGCGGCCTTGGAGGCGCAGTTGTAGCAGTCTAAGCTGCCGGTGGGGCCAATAGATGGCACCGGTGATGATCATAACTTAGCTATAGAAACGTAGTGGTGGCGCTGGCAGTGTAGTAGTGCTATTGTGGTAGCAGTGGTGGTGCTGGTGGTGGTGGTGGTGGTGGCGGTGGCGGTGGCGGTGGTGGTGGCGGTGGCGGTGGCGGTGGCGGCAGGTGGTGGTGGTGGTGGTGGCAAAATTAGGGGTGAGAAGTCGCTAGCGACGCTGGCGGAGGGGGTCTCGGGAGCTACCAAAGCCCATCCTCCATCCCTAGCTCAAGTCCGACGGAAAAAAACCCGCTGTTTGGGATGCTCCCCTTATACAAACAGCCATTAATCGGGATTATCATAGGGGGTACAAAAACCCCTAGAAAGGACCTTTAGTATAAAAGGGGCAGCATCCCAACATGCTGTTCTAGACCTGAAGAAATCTGAAGCACTGCATGAGCCCGCCCTGAATCTCACCGACTTGCTGAAGTTACGCAGTGCAGGCCAGTGCGGTTCGCATGGAGCCGCGGCAGCCTCGAGTCAGAATTGAGGGTTATAGGGGTGTTGGATGGCATTGGGGTTTGGAGCTCTTCTCTGGCATCTGGCCATCTGGTCTCCAGGCCTCAGGTTAAGCTACTGGGGATCGAGGCTTGTTCTTGCCGATACCTGCTCTCTGAAAATGCCTGACTTGCACAGGGTTTCAAGACGACGTTATTGCGCCGCAGCGAGCTGCGGGGAATGATCTACCAAGCAGACAGATTTGTTGGGAATTCTCTTGGGATCTGTGGCTCAAGATTTCATTGCTGACCCTTGAAGGAGGCCCAAGTGCGTTGGAGCGAAGTGGAGAATGCTCATCGGAAGCTCGCCTCTGAGCATGTTGCGTTATTGCTTGAACCGGCAGGCCTTTGCATGGGCAGCCGTGCATCCGTCCCGAGCGCGGCTAACGCACCCTGCGTTCAGCCAGCTGCTCCGAAGGAGGACCTTTGACTGCAAGCTTTCGTTCTCTGCACAACCATGAACAAAGCAACAGGGATGACCAAAAGTTTGAGCCATAGCAGAACTGCAGCAGCAAAGGAGCACTGAGTACCTTTTTTTGGAGATGAGAGTGAGCGAGAGCGAGCGAGAGGGAGAGAAAGAGAGCAGCCGAAAACCGGGGCAAGCCAACGACTGCACTCGGACCCGCTTCACCGTCGAAGCCAGGCTCCCCTGGCAGGGGGGGGCTCAAAGCGCGCAGGAAGAAGGAGGAGGAAGACGAAGAAGAAGAAGAAGAAGAAGAAGAAGAAGAAGAAGAGAGAGAGAGCGCGTGCGAGAGAGAGAGAGAGAGACAGGGAGCCTGTCGTTGTCAATGGGGGGCCACGGCCAGAAGGGAGCAGGGAGCAGGTCCGAACCGCTACTTCGCTGCAGGTCGGGACGAAAGAAAGAAACATACGAACAAAAGGAAGAGAGTATGGCATGTAGCACGTACGGTGTTCAGGCCGAGGCCTCTCCCAGTGCTCTATGGCTTTGCTGAGGTAACGATGGCCCAGAAGGCAGAAATCGAGCAGATTGTGGGCTCACACAAGGCAAGTCGCTAAGACGCATCAAAGACAGATCATCACGACAGCATGTCAGAGCTTGACGCTCTTCACTAGGCCTTGATGGTATTGCATTTGTTTCACAGGATTTCACATGTGCAGCGCACAGATCAGCGCTCCGCAGGTGGTGGTCATCGCCAAGTCAAGTCCTTAATTGCATCAAGAATGTTTGTTGCTTTCAGTGGCGCTGCTCGTTACTGGCACCTGTCCCTGATAGCCATACCACAAAGGGTTCCTCCAGGCGATTTCCAGCAAGCTTCTGTTTGCCCCAGGTCATGGTGCCCATTCTGCACCAAAGCTACTCGACTGGGGCAGGGCTCGCCGGGCTCAATGGGCCAAAGCCATGGAAGCCAGCATGTAGGATGCAGACAAAGCGTGAAGTCGTTTTCCAGCCTGGAGAGATTATAGGAGTTTGAGTTTGAGGCTACGCGGAGTGGCGTGCTTGTTCGTGCTTAGACAGCCCCAGACCCGAGGAGGGAAGCATTCTGCGTTGGGCACTTCGGTACTGTATCAGCCCAATGCTTCGGTGGGAAAGACGGCTTTTCTGTTTGCTTTCTGGGATCCAATGTCATGCTTACCGTTAGCGGTGGGAGATTGCGAACGCCATGGAGAGCAGAAGTAGCAGTAGTAGTCGTCGTCCTCGCCCTCGTCCTCGCCCTCGGCCTCGTCCTCGCCCTCGCCTTGTCGTCCTCCTCGTCCTCGTCCTCGTCCTCGTCCTCGTCCTCGTCCTCCTCCTCCTCCTCCTCCTCCGGCGTGTCCTCCGGCGTGTCCTCCTCGTCGTCCTCTTGAATTCCCAAAATGCCTCAAAGCAGCAAGAACAACAAATCCCAGGATGCAAACGCAAAAACGACGAAGCCACCCAGGTGAACGTCGCGTTTCAATCCATGGGCGTCAACGACCTCAAGGTTGGAATCCCTTCCAGAAGCCTTCTGAAGGCACTTAGATGGTCCTAGGCGACATTCCCCAGCTAAAAAATGATGCCCTAAACGGCTCCTGCAGATCTGTACTCCACGGCCTTGGTGCGCAGGTCGTTGAAGCCGATCACCGTCGGGATGAGTTGGAGTTCATGGAGGCCCGAGAAGTAGCATCAATTACTCACGTGGACCCCTAGTCGGAACCAGCCGGAACACCCAAACATGCTTTGGGAGCCTGGCCACGTTCTGCCCCTAAAGCTGAACTCCGAGCTCAAAGCCTCTTAGGCCTAAATGATATGGCAGCCAACGCTGTAGCACCCCGTCAGCCCGGCAGTCATCCCATGATCACCGCGACAAAAAATGTGACAGGCTGTGAAGGAGATCACCGAGAAGAAGGCTCAGACATTGGGGGAGATTTTTTGGGGGGTCTCTGGAGGCTCATAGCTGTGACAATAGTGTTCGTTTTGAGGCTTCCTGCATTCCCCAGGCCTCTAAGACTCTAAGAACTTGCAAAGGGAGTTTTAGCTGGAAGACGGGTTTGGATAAATGGAATGTCAGACTCACCAGCCTCATTAGCCCAAAATGCGGTCTGACTATGTCGTGCAGTATGGTTCGAATATTGGCACGCGCAAGAATCACTCGTACACCGAAACCCTTGTTTTGAGAATCCCTAAAACCATCTAGTCCGAGCTAGAAAACCCGATCGAATTTCCGAATTAGACTTACTATTGCTATTCACTCCAGGCTGACTTACTATTGCTATACACTCCAGGCAGTGGAGTCTCAGGTCCTTCCTGCCAGAATCCCTTCCCAAAGAGGGCTGAATCTGGGTGAACTTCAGGGGCCGCTTCTGCACTAGTTACCAGCAAGAACCCTGGGGGCCTGAAGCAAACCCTGGGAGCCACAACTCCGCGCAGTCCGTACCGCAAGTCTTTGTGGGTGGCAAGTTCATCCCAGGCGCGGCATTCTTTTGTCAGCATCGCCTGAGTTTGCTGGGGGGGGGGGGGGAGGGACTTCGGGATGCTGGCTTATTTTTCCTCGAGTTCAGCCAAGGCTCTTGTAAACTCAATCGGCTCCTGGACATGTTCTCTCACCAAGGCTGAAGGGTCTCTGGTCATGTCTGGTCGAAACCCTTCGCGTTGTAGGCGGCTGCGATAACATCATGGATCTCAGAGAGAAGGGCGAGCTCAAGCCATTGCTGATGGAGGCTGCAGCGACGACGTGTGAAGGGGCCCCATGGCCCTCTCGGGTTTCGGGGTGGCTGACAAACACACCGCTTCTGAAGACCAAGAACTTGGCCAAGTTGAGCCCGTCCTGCCCAAGTGCTGTCTCGTTCATCTGTGCTTTGGCTCAATGGATCTCCGCTCCTCAGAACAATGCCCTGTTCCAAAACTCCCACACCTAGCCCCTCATACACACACAACAGCAGTCAGATCAGTCAGCAAGCGCCACCACGGCAGCTTGGGAGTCCGTCTAAACTGCAGCATGGCGACCAGCGATGGGAATGTCAGCTGCGAGTATTATCATCAGGGCGGCTCGACTCCCGCTTTCCTGTACTACCATTTGGAGCCAAATGGCTCGAGAACTGAAGTCCAGCCGATGACGGCCCCCAATGGGCTTTGCTATTTTCCAGAGGCCAGCTGCGGCAACGAAGATTTCTGGTGCTGCGCTGTCTCAGAGCCTGTGGCGCACGCAGCCGACAGGGGCATGCAGCTGAACACCCTCTATTGCATCATAGCGATCATTCTCACCTGGTACCTCCCCAGGTTGTGCCGAAGCTTGTACCATCGCCTCCGACAGCTCATCTTTGGCAAGGCCCCTCGAAGAATTGAGTCTTCCATTGCTTCGTTTATGGGGGGGTAAAACTAGAGAGAATGGTTGTCCCGAAAGCATCTCATGCCACGATTAAGACCTTGCACAATGCCATCCATCCATGATCCATCACGACATCCATGACGACATCCATCCATGCATCAACGAGAAAGAGGAACCTGCACGAAGACCACCCTTGGAAAACTTTGCACCACGCTGTCGGGAAACTGGATGAAACTGCGAGAGCCTCCCACGTGCCAGCAGCACGGCACCCCGCGACCACCGAGAGGGCTAGTCGATCGCGAACGAACATGCGCACGCCACCCACGCGCCAATGTCGCGGCAACTGGAGATAAGAAATTGCAACAACAGGGCGTCAAACACACGCAACAACACAAGGGCAAGAACCAACGCCAAATGGTCTCGGCAATGCCAGAACACAGAGAGGGTTGTGGTTCGCGGACGAGAATTCGAACGCCTCCCACGCGCCAGCATCACGGCACCCTGGGCTCCCACGTGCTAGCGCGATTTCTGAGCAGGTGCGGCGAGTCCCGCCAACCCCACCCCGCGCTTTCACGCAAAGTAGTGTTAAGAGGAAATCCAAGAAATCCATCAGGCCATCCATTCATCATCCATCACGACTTCCATCACGACATCCTCCCGAAGACCACCTCCGCTGAAAAGCCCTCGCCATGCTTTCGGGAGAAAGGTGTTTGAGGGGACCTCCGTGATGCGGACTCCGCAGCTATCTTTTGTTTGGTGAAACACTTAAAGCTCCCCTAATGCACGCGCGCCGCCTCGGCAGCCGGGCAGGAAAGGAGGAAAGAGGGTGTTTGGGAAAGCCCTCAAAAAAAGGGGGAGGGGGAGAATGGGTCCAGGAAAGCCAGGGCTCAAACAGTGAGGGTCCCAGGAAGAAGGGGCCCCAGGGTGGGGAAAGGGGAGGTCCCGGAGAAGGTCTCTCCAAAGCGATGGGGGGGTCCCACAGGGCGGGGGGGGGTCGGGGGGGGCTCGGGGGTTTTGCGTCACAGCAGCAAGGGTTGCGTTATGGGGAAATTCGTGTCTGCTTGTTCGAAATGCTTCTCAGCAGGAAGCCGAGGCGAATTGGGGTTATGTCTTGGGATGTTCCCCCTTATACTAAGTTACTAACAGTCCTTAATCGGGCAAACGTTGGAAGGCTACTTTTGTCCCTACTAACAGTCCTGTTAGTATACTTGGGGAACATCCCAAGTTATGTCCTCTGATCAGGATCCGGATCTCGACGAGGCAAGTGAGGAAGAGCCCACTGAGCCAACGGAGCCCACGGAGCAGCCGGAGCCCTCGAGCTGCGCTTCTTGGACCTCTTAGGAGGGGGGGGGAGGGGATTTCACCGTCTTTCTCACAGCTCCTTTTTCGGGGTCATAGTTCCCTCTTATTCTAATAAGTGATAAGGGCAATTGGGCTTTTATTGGGGCGCTCTCAATGAGTGGTGTGTCCGTACGCACGAAACGCAACCATTAACAATATTATATCGTGCGTCCCTTACCTATAATATTATGATGGGTGCTCTTCATGGACGGACTCTTGGGCAGTTAGGGTGTCATGAGGTTGATGGTGTACGAAAGAGTAAAGTGTCGCGAGCTCGTGGTCCGGTTGTTCACTCTCTTCGTCATGTCCCCACCTTCCTCGCGAAGTAATTCACCTGTCTCACCCCTCGGGACCCCAACATCAGGTTCTCCAGCTACAACCGTGTAACACCTTGGAATCATGCCTCGGGAAACTGAACATCCCAAGTCTTCGTCTTAGCTAGCAACAAGATTTTTGGCAGTGCCGGTGGCAAAACAAGCAGATCTTAACACTGTTGGTGCTCTTGGTTGGGCTGGGCGTGAAGCTGTGTAACACGTAGTGAGTAAGGAACAGTGAGTGAGCGACCACCTGCCCGCCAGGCCGCGGCTCTGAGTCAAATTGTGCGCGGCTGTAGGACCTACAAAGCTTTGCTATCTTGTGAAATGAAATTCTCCGTTTGAGGTGATGGTGGTTGAAGTTGCTACAGACAACAAAAACTTGCAACAAACCTGCAGCCTCTCTGGGTAGTCTGAGGTTGTACGCGTGCTGCGCATAGTGGGCGCTTTGGCTCTCACAGCCGTGGTCGCCACAGAGGCAGGTATAGGGGGTTAACATGTAAGGGCTAGGACGCTTGCTTGGAGATCGATCGCCATGAAGGTTTACATGTTGATCATGGTGGCAAACGTCACACAGCTTGGCCTGTCAGTGCCAGAAAGGTATCTCAGCTGCTAAGTGCACTAGGAAGTGGCTCAACATTGAACACTTTCCTGATGCGCGCAAATAGGTGAAAGCCGACTGCGTGCATCCTTCTGACGAGATAGTCTACTAGACAGCTAAGGAACTCAATGCTGGCAGCAGATGCTTTCCTGGTGCCGCTCGTTGAGATCTTCCAGTTCTTGGAGGATGTCGTCGCAGTCAAAATCAGCGCCGCCATGGCTGTTGGTGAAATCCATCTTGTTCGGCCTATCTTAGTACCTTGGGAACCAAATGAACCCTAAAATTGGGACCCTATGCCCTGTACTACGATACTCCTTATTAGGGTATATGAACCATAAACCCTTGTAGGGTTCATTTGGTTCTCAAGGTAATGGGCGTGGTGGGCGGGTTGATCTGTGGGACTGCAGCGGCGTCCATCGCCACATTGATATGTACCTGGTCGGAGGGCCTTCAATGGATCTTGGCCCCGTACTCCGTGCATGACTCCTACGTGCAGTGCCCCTTGGTGCCACAGGGCTCAGCAGCGGCAGACCTGGCTCGGACGTACTTGCTGCTACAAGCCTCTTGGTGAGAATCAGAAGCACGAGAGCCCGCCTCAACCGCTTATCAGAACTATAAAACAATGCACAACCAAGGCCAAAACTTACAGCACCCCTCCTCACTTCAAGAATAGACTTCATAAAGCACCAAGCGAGCCAGGCCCCGACAGCTCGAACAAGATGTATTCGTCTGTGTTGCCTTTTTTGAAAGCATGTGCCGACTGGCTGTTTCGTTCATTCCACAGCCGCCAGCACGATTTGTCTTAAAGGCCACAACTGCCCGAACCCAAGCTCTGATGCCGTCTACACGTCTTGGCGGGTGGCGAAACAAAAGGGCAACAACTCCCCTGAACCGCTCCAAAACTGACTGCCTTGCGCCCGAGATGCCTAAATCCCCCCCCTAGTTACAGTTGGTTAATTAGCAGGGAATGAGGGAATGAGGGCCCTATACAATCCCTGAAAAACCAACAGTAAGCCAAAGGTGTGGACTTGGCCCGTGGCCTTTGCCACCCGCGCCATCAGAGGCTTTCTGTTTGGTAGTGGGGACATCGTGGTTGGTATGGTGGCCACCTGGAAGTCGCATTTGGGAAGGGATTTTAGGGTTTGGGGTTTAGGGTTTGTGCGTGAGAGAGCCATCGTTGAAAAAGGGTTTGTGCGTGGCACTCGGCAATTTCACCTCTAGTTCGGTATGTTGGCTTGAGCAGAGCTCGGCCCCGGTACCACGCATAGGCTTGACGTAAAAGGGCTTAGGGTTTAGGGCTTCAGGGGCTTATGCAGGACGTCATGCAGAAACTCTGGAGCGGAAGAGTTGAGAGGTTTCCAAAGTTCAGGCTTCAGCGTCGAGGGTCGGGCTTTTTTCGGGGAGGCGTCGGCAGGCCACGAAGATTGGAAGGCTTTTTGTTACCCTTCTTTGGGCATGAGTGAAACCAAGAGCTGTGATGAGAACAGCCCAGGTCCTTGGAATGGCCAATGGCTTGGTGACCATCGGAGGGATCTACATGTTCCCCGATTGAGAGTAAACTCGAAAAGAACCTGAGCCCTACATTCAACATGAGTAGCTCAGGTTCTTTGTCCCGCGCCCTTCATTGGAGAGGCTAGGCTGGATCAATTTTGCCAGCTCATTTGCATCATTTGCGATCCTTCTGGCCCCTTGGCTGTCACATGGTCATGGTCGCCGCTCCTATAGTGGCCCTAGTGCCCCTACAAATCAAGAGTTCTGAAGCCTGGAGATCAATAGCGCCAGCAGAGGTTATGTTTGTAGTACGCCGCGACCTGCGCAAACGCTACAACCTCGTCCTTCGCGTCCAGCCGTCACCAGACTCAGTATGGAAGAGACTTCGCATAGCAGCTGTGACAAAGGGTCTAGGGCTTAAAGTGGTTTAGTTGAGAAGACAAGAGGCGGAAACACTGTCCTGTGCCCGTGACTCTGGTCCAGGTCAGATGCTGAGGCTGCGGCAAGCAGGCTTCCCGAGTTCTCCGTGCGCTCTTTGTGGAAGGACGCGTCGCGCGAAGGTTTCCTGGCGATGGTCTTGGACGTGGCAGCCCAGATGTCGGCAACCATCGGGACGTCCAGCTGGTACTTCAGAACTGTGAGATTTTTCGTCAAGGCATAAACAACATTTCTAAAACAGCTAAATAAGGTCGAGTTGCCCTTTCTTTAGATGGAAGGATCTACACGGCTGGTGTGACACTGGGCCTTGGCGCGATGTACCAAATCAGCTCACTACAGGCCGCTTTCCCTCAGTATGGGTTGGCATGGATTTGGGGGCTGACCTACGTACTGCGGCTCCACGGTACGCAGCTGGTATCTCAGGGAGAATATGAGCTGTTCCGGGGCCTATTTCGAACGGCCGTAATGTATTCTTTCTTGCTCATCCTGGCTGTCGCAGCATCGGTGATCCCCTACGGGGAGGCTTTGTCTTTCCACCAGGCGGAACAAGCCTGCGAGTACGCCTCGAATCTTGCTTGCCTGCCTCACTACGAGCATATTTTCGGCGGTGGAGGTTCGGGAGGCGACTCGCTTCAGCAGAGCTTCATGCGGTTCTTTGTGCCAGTGCTGATCGCCCGATGTTTTTACCAGGCCTGGGGGGCGTCCAATCTGGAGTCAGAGGTTCTTCGTGTTCCAAGACGCCAACAATATGAACATACTCAGAAGATAAGAGGGCTGCCTGCAGCAACGGCAACACCTTCAACCCCGCCTCAAATGTCTTATTCTCTGTCAAGGATCAAGGAGGCAACCCCTAATGCCGAAGCCCTAAACCCTGAACCCTAAACCCTGAACCCTGAAATCTCACCCAGCAACAGGTGTTTAAGGCCGGAATGTATGTGTGCTTGGACTGGACCTTCATGGCCCGAGTGGGCTGCACATGTTTTGTGGTCGTCTTCGTGCCGGCGATCCTGATTGCAGTTTGGGGCCTCGGCATTTTGGCCATGCAAGACGCGCGAATCACAATACTTGTAAGTTATTCCTAGGGAGTATGCTTGCTCTCCGACCATATTGAATTTTGGTTCAGCTGTTGATCGCATGTTTGGGGTTGCACTGAGACCCCTTCATCCAATTTGGCGCTCCTGAGCGCGCATCTAGTTCTTCTGGCAAGCGCGAGGGAGTTCGTCCTTCCCTGCGGTTTAGACTCAAAAGGCTCAGATGGGTTTCGGGCTTTTGGGGCCTGAGGAGAGCTGGGACTAGAGGTAAGCTGGTCTGCCCTGCATTAAGGTACTCCCTCCTCCATTCTCGTTGCGATGTATCTGCCCTGGCTTGCCATGGCCGGGACGTTCATGTTGCGGACACGGCACAACATCAAAAAGATGCTGAAGGGACTTTCGGGGCCATGGGACAAGGGCCCTGGGGCCTCCAGTGAGTCCGAAAGTGAGGACTTCGAGGCTGAGAGGACCCCGGCGCTGTAAAGCCAGCAGCAGGCCCTGATCCCAAGATGTTAGAAAGCGTTAGACGTGTGCACAAGTCTGCGAGATTTATGAAGCTCTTAGTGTTTGGAGCGAAGGCAGCGAAAATCGTGCACAGCTGCTAGCTTTTCCCTTCCTCATCGCAGCATAGTTCAGAACGATCTTGAAACTGCTCTCTACAGACTTGCCAACACTTAGCAGACCTTACATGCAGTTAGGCTCCCCACATGGAATAGGAGCCCTTCAGAGCTGACAGTCGCAGGTCTCTTCACTGACCGTTCTTTGTGCGCCAAGAGCCACCAAACTTCAAGCTTACCAGGTCCCAGGTCTCTTCTTCTCACCGTTATCGTGCAGATGTCAGTGATGACTGGAAACATCTCCCTCTTGCCTTCGCCAGGCGAACGCCATAGATGCCGAGGCACCGGTGTTGCTGTCAAGCCATCCTTTCCTGTAATGGCCTGTGGAAGACCTACGCCTTTCTGGACACAAGATTGTAGCGTTTAGAATGCAAAATGCCATTGAGTCTGGACGACGACCAAGGAATGAGCATGTTTTGGGCAAGGGGCCAGGGTGCTGGACAGCTGTCGAATTGTAGAGTCGAAGTTTGAGACCCCGCTCATCTTCAGTCCAAAAGCCCGGCAATGTTCTAATGATTCTAATGCCTGCAGCTGACTTGGGCATCTTCGCAAGCATGTGCGAGCAGCGCTTAATGGCAAAGGTGTGAATCACGAGAGGTCATGGGGTGTGAGGATTTCAGAGAATTCAGTGCAGATGTTGCCCTGAACCCTAAACCCAAGCCCTAAACCCTAAACCCCTCCGGTGCACCAGGTAACCACACCCGCGCCGCCGGGCTCCTATGACTTCGACCTCTTCGTCTTGGGAGGAGGGAGCGGCGGCTGCGCCGCCGCGCTGGAAGCTTCGAGGTGCAGAAAGGGAGGTTTAAGGGTTGGTCATTTAAGCAGGGTTTAGGGTTTTATGGAAGGGAGGTACGAGTACGGGTTGGGGCAAAGTGGCAGCAGAGCTAAATGTGACGGGCGGGGAATTCAACGCACAGGGCACAGCATGGGAAGTCCGAACGCCAGGAGACTGCAGGCCACTGTGCATCTAAAGACAAGAGCATGGGGATAGGAATGGAGACCAACATTCGACTTACATTCCAGGGCGTCATGCACCGGGTTGGTTGGCATAGTGTCACAGGCCTTGAGACTTTCTGCTTGACACCTTGTGCTATTTCCGGACTTTGTCGTCTTTTGTTTTTGTTTCGGTTTTTGTTTCGGTTTTGCCCGGCCATTGAGCGTTTCACTTCGGCCCCTTGTTTAGAGACTGAAACACCGCATGTCCTGTTGGAAATGGTGGATAAGGGCCTTGACAGGACACTTTCAGCTGTGTTTCTATGCAAAAGCGTCCCCTTTCACGGGCAAAAGTGGTGCACCCTTGGCCAGGGACAAGACGAAGAAGATCGCTGTTGCTGATTTTGTCAAGCCTTCGCCACAGGCTTCGGCTGCGGTGGTTCCGGATGCAGGGTTTGGGAGTCTCGAGTTTCCCGGCTTTGACTTTATTGGTTTAGGGTTTAGGGTTTAGGGTTTCGGGTTGAATAGGGTTTAGGGTTGTGAGGCTGGGGTTTCAAGGGCTGCTGGGACCCGGAATAAATGCAGCCGGGGAGGGCCGGATCCGATATTCCCCATCGCGCGTGCCATGGGCGTGAGGTCTAACAGGGCCTCATACCAAATGAATGCTGCTGATGGCGCAGGGAACCACATGGGGCGTCGGCGGCACCTGCGTAAATGTGGGCTGCATCCCCAAGCAACTCCGCAGCAACCAAGTCCTGAGCGATTCAGCGAGGGGGCCGCAAGCAGCCAAGAATAAAGTAAGGCCAAGGGTTTAATTCCTCCCTGCTGCTCTAGAATGGTTCCCTGAACCCCAAACCCTAAACCCTTTATCTAATGTGTTTCTTTGCTTTGGCCCTGTCGACCTTCTGAGACTGTCTCCGCAAATGTTTTCGAGGAAGCTCATGCACATTGCAGCAACGAAGAAAGAGGACCGCACTTGGCTCTCCTTTCACGGTTTAGGGTGTAGGGTGTAGGGTTTAGGGTCACCGCTTCCTCAAACCAGAAGGATGTGTGCTGTGAGTCGAGCATATCATGCACTATGTATGTGTGGTTATGTGGTGAAATTTCGACCGGCTGCGATTTTGCCGATTTTGCTACCAAGAGCAGCATTTCAATCTTGTTTTCTGATACTTCGAAGCAGACGCACGGCAGACAACACATATACCAATAGCACTAAACCAATGCCGAAAAATCAAAGCGAACGAAACAACACCGACAAAAACAAAGAATGTGGAAACTCTTGGAGGCTAGGCATTATCGAACCTATTCCCAGGAGCTCCTCAAAACTGTCTTTTGTGTCTTGTTTTGGTGTTTTGGTATTGTTTTTTGGTACGGTTCCCTACCGTCCATGTACGGTTGTTAGATGTTAAGTCAACCATGCTCCTCGGAGTGCCCACCCCCAGACAAGCCCCAAGAGAGTCCCACAGGCTCTCCCTAGAGTGCCCGCCATCCAAAAGTTCCGCCGAGTTTTCCTGAAGCGTCGAGGCAGCACGTGTCTCAAGAGTGAGAAGTATCGTAAATGACAGTGTTTTCGCCGCGTCGCCTAAAAAGAAGAAAAGCAAACGAGCCGCAAACTGAGGGGGGGCTGGCAGAGAGAAAGAGCCAGTATGATCGTATCCACGTACATATGCATAATACCGGATAATGTTGTAGAATGTCTGTATAAGTTACATATATAGTGCCCTTGCATAGCGAGACCCTCGGGGATGGCACGGGGGAGGGAGAGAGAGAGAGAGAGAGATCGAGTTATAAAGCGGAAAATTGTAGGAGAGCAGCTTGCCCCATGCAGGACATCCATGACCTGGCGAGCTACGGCTTCAAGCAGAAGTCGGATGGAGGTGCACAGAGAGAGAGAGAGAGTGGTAGACCTTTCATGACCCTCATTCATGTGGATTCATGTGTGGGTGTGTGCGTGCCTTTGTCTGTGTGTGCGTTTCATGTTATAGCTTTTGCAGCCGTAGGCCCTCCGAATCCCCAAGGTGAGGTCGATGTGACCCACGACTGGCAAGTGATGTGCCAGGGCATCCAAGGCTTGCCGTTGTGTTTGCCCTATGAGATCGGATTTGGCCCAGGGTTCCGGGCTTATGTGACCTTCCCAGCATGACACCTGAGAGGGTCTAGCTCTAACCCTCAAGCCTGCTGGCAACTTCTGGGGGAGGCTACATCAAGGAGTCGCTCAATATGGCGGGCTTGTCAACTGCACGCTGTTGTCTTGTTTGTTGGTCGTTTCGCCTGCTATGATGCTTCCACTGATGTGATGACACCCTACAGCACCGTGCTTGGCCTCACCATGCCATGAGAGCCGGAACCCTATTTTCTTGCCATGGCGGCCTTATGTTACGACCCAAAAGCTGCTCTCGGCCTCCGCAGCAACAAAAAGAATGTGCCCGGCCTCCACAGCAAAACGAAAACCTTGAAGAGCGCCGCAGCTGGGGCCGGCAAGCAAGTGATGGAGCGAGCCGCAGCGCAAAAAATGTGCGCGATGAGAAGCAGGGCCACGCAGCCAGGCCCGGCAAACAAGTGATGGAGCGCGTCCGCAGAAACAAACAAAAACAGCCTTTTTCGCACCAATGAAACACACCTTGAAATCACCGCGCGCGGCAAACAAATGTGTGAGTGAGCGCTGTTTCTGCAGCCAAAATTCATCGCACCCTAGGAGGGAAGGGAGAGATCTGCTACCACTACCACTACCATTGCAAGTGCCACTACTGCTACGTAAGACTACTACTTACAATGCAGCCAGCTTCCACAGCAAACAAAACAGCGGCCCGGCTTCAAAAGCCCAAAGAAGCGCTCCCGGCCTCCGCAACAAAAAAGCCTCCAGATCAAAGTTGTTTTGCTGGGGTGACAAAGCAACACTCTTCCTCACCAGCCTTGCACAAGGGCTTGAGATATGTCAGGGGGCTTGGTTTCAGCGGAGTGCTGTGGTTTCGGAGCTTTGTTGCATCCTGGGGCGGTTTGAACAAAGAATTGCCTCGGCAGCACTCTCCGTTCAAAATGATGCTCCCCGAGCATAAGAGCCTTAAGTGCATGCATGGTGCAACAACCATCAGAGGCCGCTGTCCCATCCTGCAGCAGTAGCAGCCTTACAACAGCAGCCTACTCGCACCTGATATCACCCGATGCTTCTGGCTCCAACAACGACGAATTTTGATTAGATATTTAGAAATGACATAGTCTGTTAGTTGAAACGTAGCAGCACCGTTGGGATCTGCAAGACATGCGCCATGCCTTGGCGAGATCGTTTCAGGGAGCTGTGGAAGCGCTGCTACCGACACCTGCGCTATGCGAATCTGGATGTGATTTCGCATCATCGTTCTAGGCATTTGGGTTTCGGAAGTTGGGACTTTCGAGGCATCATCGGCTTCTGTTGCTTGGGTAGTTTGGGGGCGATGTTGTGACAAAGCATTGCGTTTCTGCACTGCGAAAAAAACCATAAACGAGTGGTAGCGAAAACCCCAGTATGGACGTAACGATATGAAAGCAAAGGACAAAAGCTTCTCTTTTGGTGTCTGTGCCAGTTGGTTTTAGTCCGCTCGCCATACCGCGGGGGGGGGGGGGGGTCTGACCTTACCAATCTCGAGGAGACACCACTGCACGTACTAGTGCTCTATAATCTTATATAAGTCCGGCTGCTCATGGATAGTCAGGGCAATAACTTCCAGAGACAGGCTATACGAGGTGGCCGCATGCCAGGAAAATTTCAATGCTGGGGAGGAGCTTCAGGACTCCACGTAGGCCACAGGTCCGCAAAAGACAGCTGACGGCCTTGTGGCCGTCAGCCCATGGAAACATCACCAGAAGGCCACTCTTGCCAGGGGCGCGATATCGGCAGACACAGACTTGCACTCATGCGCAACTTATCGCAGAAGCATGGATGAACCAATCGAAGCCATGGGGTCAGTGTTAGTCTGTTAGATCAGCCTAAAGGGAAGATCGGGCAAATATAATGGCACGCGGACATTGCTAATAATTCTGCAGGAGGTGCGGACACAAGTCAGCGCGTTAAAGCCGGATTTGCGGATGGCGACTCCGCGAGCAGGAAGCTCGCAGATGCGTGACGCACGCCAGCGATGCCTCTGTTGCGGATCGGCTTCGGGGTACAGGGAAATTCCGCCGGCTGCAGGCTGCTGTGCCGGCTCCATTGGATTCTGGGGTCCCCAACCCCTGCAGGCCCCCTTTCCGAACTGCATCCATGCCAGTCTGCGGGCCCCCCAAGCTCCCAAGCTCCAGAGCTGCGATCCGCTCATCCAAACCCGCAGGCTCGCTCCCCCCGGTTTTTTGAGGAGAGGACCCCAACAATGACAGCTCCTGTTTGAGAATCATCGCTCGCCTTGGATGTTTCCAAAGGATTCAACGGCTGCAAGCCCAAACCCAAGAAGGCATCTCTGCAATGTTCGCCCAGCTAAGCAGGAGGGGAAGCAAAAAGAAACTGCAACACGAGAAGAACCGAGCTGTGCCTGCCGTGCACAAGTCTGCGTCAGAGTCGAAGAAACAACTTAATGAGGGTTTAGGGTTTAGGGTTTGCAAGGGTTTAGGGTTTAGGGTTTAGGGACACCCAGGAACTATGATTGCCTGAAGAAGTGGTCTGGGCTCCACAGACTTTGTGCTGGCTTTCTTAACTGGCTTTGGGCCGGGCGAGTTCTGTACGTCAACGTGGATGCGGGAGAGCGGCACCTGAGTGAGACCACAGAATTAAGCTTTTCGCAATCTGGTCTTTCGTTGTCGAAATCTGGTCTCAGGAAATGAACTCGTATCAAACATAGGGGTTGAGGGTTTAGGGTTTAGGGTTTAGGGGTTGGGGTCAAGATGTTGTAAGATTTCGGGCTTGAGGTACTATGCACGAGAGTCATCCCTCCCAGTGCAAGGGGCAGATACCATCCGACTTGTTGTCCTCTCGGTGCCCGGCCTGCAGACTGGATCGAGTGGGCACAGGTTGTCTATGGTTGTCTTGAAATGTTGTGTGTCGTTGGAAAAGCTGTGAGTCTAGATCTTACTTTCGGGCTCATGGCAGGCCCTAAAGTGCTGCATCTTGTGCCCTTTGAGGATACACACCTCTACCACTGGCAGCTGTATGTCCCGTCTGGAGATGTCCTGGTCCACGCAGGCGATTGCCTGGCGGAATCCTTGGCGCATTTCTGGGATGGAAAGAAGTTGTGAGAGAAAGAAGTGCCTTTTGAAGGGGGAAAGCTGAGGAAGAGTGCACAGCGGCGTAAAGGGTTTGACTTAGCCCTTCGGTGCCAAAAGTCGAGCCGAGTCAAATCTTCCACTATGAAGCAGTAGATGTACGGCAAGGATGCACAACGCGCCACCTCCATATGTCCACCCAGCCAAACATCTGTCCAGCTCCTAGTCGTCAGGGTGTCGAACATTATCAATACCACATCGCACTTGGGCAAATGACTTTGAAGCAATTGTCGTGCGCCACCGCATGTTCCTAAGCAGAAGCCTAGGAATGGGGCCACGGGCAGCGGGAGTTGGAGGACTTCGCAGCCTGGCTGAGAACCTTGCCACATCCGGAGAAGCTGGTAACAGGCGGGTCCAGATGTCCTTGGGCTCAGGGTTTAGGGTTTAGGGTACAGGGTTTAGGGTATCAGGCTTAGACCCTCAGGCCAGTGGAATTAAGACAGCCAGTGAGGAAGGTCGGAGGGTTACAGCTGGATTTGGCTACCCCAGCCGAGAGATAGAGCCAATACAGCATCAAATCTGAAAGCTTCTGCCAGTGCAGCGAAAGGCTTTTCTCACTCATCCCACAAAACGAGCCCAGCAAAAGCCGCGAAGCCGGAGATTGGCATGACCGTTTTGCAGTGCCCATCTACGCACCAATCCGCCATGAAACAGCGCAACTGGTTTGTTGAGTGTTTTTGGGGAGGGCGCTTGAGGATCGTTATCTCCATGGTTCGGCGGTTCTAAAGCTACATGGGACCTTGTGGCTCTATGGTTTGTCGGGTTGGCTGGTCCTTCCTGCGCAGGTGGTAACCACGACCAGATATTCGAGGACAAGCACTTGCAGGGCTTTCGATGTGCCTTAAGACCAGCCCTTCTAAGCAAGGGCATTGAATTGACTCAACCTTTTTCGTTCAGGAGTGTTTCTATAGGGCACACACACGGATCTTGTGTGTGGAAACAGTGTTTGGGCTGACATGACCTACTATTCGTAGTTGACTCGCCTATCCACACCTACTTCTGGGAGTTGACCATTTGTCAAAGCCTGAAGCAAGCATGTAGCCTAGAGCTTTGATCGCAACACCTGAGCCCCCAACCCGATTCAAGTCTGATGGGGCTTTGGATAGCGCATATTAGGGTGGAATTTGTTAGTCCTCTGTAGTTTTCGTTCATGTTGGAACTGCGAACACAGCGGCTCCTGAGTCGCCACATCGTTTGAGGACCTGGGTCCTCAGCGCATGTCGCAGATCCTCAAGCTCTGTGGTGCCAAATACCTCCACCCGGACCCCAGAGGGATATAAGGTGATGGTGATTGGTTGGACTCTGGCCTGTGGGTACTTGTGTGGCTTAGCTTGGCTCTCAATGGCAGGCCAAGCACGTTCTGAAGATATCCTGTCTCCGATTTTTGATGGCCAATTGTGTAGAGTTACCTTGACGCCCCATGCATCGGCGCTTGACACGCAGAAGCACAAGGGCCAAAGATACCTGTGGGGGCAGTGACAAGGCCCATATGGCACAAAGAATCGCAGAACTTGACGAAGTTGAGGTCGAGTCGTGCACAAGGGTTGGAAGACTTCGAAGGGTGCCTTTCCCAAACCGCCCCCGAACGTAAAACCTCTGCAGCTTCCGCTGCCCTTGGGACAGCCAGGAGCTGTTTGCGACCACTGAAGTGGCTGGAGGCTTGGTCGTCGCGGGCAACCCTTGGTCGGTCCGTTCCTTGGGATGCCAAGATTTAGGCGGCTTCGGTTTCTTGCATCGCGGGCCGGTTGCGAAGCACCGTTACGAAGCTAGGTGGGGCATGGATCGATGGGGGCTCGTTGAAGATGTTTGGGCGCAGCATCTGTGCTTTCCTGAGGCGTGAATCCGACGTCGGTGTCTCTTGGACGGCACTGCCTTCGCGTCTTATAACCCTAAACCCTAAACCCTAAACCCCCGCCCCCCCCCCCCCCCCAAAAAAAAAAAAAAAAAAAACCTAAAACCCTTATTCGCTTGCCATGGCAATGTTTGTTGAGGCCCGCCTGAGCCTCAGACATCTCAGGAATCGAGCGTTCCAGCCGCCAGCAGACGATGAGCGGTTCGGGCCTCCCCCTCCCTGCGATGTGCTGGCATCTTGGCGCTTATTATGTACGAATTTAGTGCATACGAAGGCTCCGAACACCTCCATCAGCGAAGAGACGGCTATAGGCTAGAAGAGTTTGTTTGCAGTATTTGGAGCTCCCGTGCTCCGCTGACAGCTCTTGACTCATCAGTACCACCACTGAATCGACTGTGACAATACCTCCCCCAAAGATGCCCCGGTGCAGCAACGCATGCCTTAACGCGCGGAGGGTTTGGACACGGAACAGGACCATTCGGAGCAGCAACAACTCTTGCCAATACTTACAAGCATTCGCGAGCATCAGCAACATCAGCTGCGGGGTTTACAAATGCCGCAGTCGTGACTTCCGATGCAGCCTCTCAATGCTTCCAACCTAGCTGCAGACAGAAGCTTGAATTATCAAGTCGTTGACAGTTGCACCTCAGAACAGGATGATTGTGGTAAACATACAGCCCGTTGGAGCTCGCAAGCTTTCCAGTTGCCACAAACACAGACTTTCCGGACCAGTGGCACTAAAAAATGGAGCCCGGCAGAAGCAATTCCACCTGGTGTTCTCCTTTGTCCAGATTTGGCCTGATACGGTTTTCGGCTGACTAGGCCGAAAGCATTTAATGACATTCAGTGTTCGTAGTTGTGGCACTTGCATCATCTCTCTTCCCGGGCTGTGGCAGACAAGCCGAAACTCAGAGCTTAACTCATCCACTCAGCACAAACCCCAAAGCCGCAAAACCCTGAATCCAGCTAGGGTGTCCAGAGGATAGATTCGGGTGGATCCTTTAGAGTGAATGAGAAGTAGAACGCTGCTTTCAGGTAACCCATGGGCCTTCCTATGCCAGCCATGCCTGGCACTCAAACGTTCGCCTTTGCTGCCCTCGTCTTCATCTTTTTGGAAGCTCAGCTGCGAGTTATTTTGTTATTTTTTTTTTTTTTGGGGGGGGGTGGGGGGGGGGGTGGGGGGTGGGGGGGGGGGGCGGAGGGTAGGTGGGGTAGGGGTGGGGTAGGGGTGGTGTAGGGGTGGTGTAGGGGTAGGTAATTAGGGTAGGGGGAGGGTGGTAGGGGGGGTGGAGCCAATCGTTAGATGGCCCGTGCCTTCTCACAGTCTGGGGTTTTGCCGTGCTGAGAAGGAAGACCTGGCTCGGCAGTGCCATCGAAGCTTCCGTGTTGTCATGAGAATGTGAAGCTCAGCCCCATTGCAGAAAACGAACTTAAGATTAGCCGATCAGCCTTTGAATCTTGGTAAGATACTCGAAGCCACGTGGGCGAGACTTTCCCATCAGCTTCGCAAATGTGCAACGTGGGAAGACTGCCCATGACAGGCCGGAAGTCCCACTGATGCTTTGGACAGCCAAAGGGGGGTAGAGGACTTGTAGATGGAAAGGACGTGCTGAGGTAGAGGGGATAACTGGGGAATTATCCGAATAGCATCTTCTCTAGACAAATGACGCGACAAACTTCCTTTTGCAAAACAAGATATCTGAGCCACACAAATTGACGTTGCGGCATTATGGCAAAATTCTTACAAATTGTTCTGGAAATGCTCCGCACACTGCTGCACGACAGATGAGGGCACCAGCAATGCTCCAGGTTCACCAGCGAGTGCTACACCCGTAATGCTCCACTTGCAACTGCTGGAAAGGGGGGCGTTGCAACTGCTGTACAAACCACCCCTGACTGCATCGTTGAAGCTGCTACTGTCTACATCGCCTGCGATGTTGGAATCGTGCGCACAATGCAGCAATGCTTCTGTCTCTCTCTTTCTCTCCTTCTTTTCTTCTCTATCTCTCTCTCTCTCTCTCTCGCTCTCTCTCTCTCTCTCTCCATCCGACAGACAGACAGACAGAGACAGAGCAGAGACACACCCAGGACTTGCTTATCGAACAAGTCTTTACTCCTAACAAAGTTAGCTATTTTGACCGAAGCCCTGCCATCTGATTCAGGGTCTTAGCTATTTGGACTTCCCGTAGGTTGAAGTACCGAAACCCGAAACACCAAGCCTTGCAGCGCTTCGTCTGCCTCACTTCAGGACACGAGCACGACAACTACGGCGTTACCTTTGAGGAAGGCATAACTCAGGTCAACGCAGCTTTGTGCATCCCGCCTGTTGGATTTCATTTAATAATCTTCAGGCTACCGGAAACGATGAACGTCTTCTTCTCGCCTGTTGGGTTCTTGCTGTTGGGGTTGGGGGGCGGAGGGAGGGGGGGAGTTTAAGCATGCAGGGTTTGGCGGCCATAAGGGTTCAGGGCTTTGGTTTCTAGGGTTGATGTTGTGGGCCTTGGGATAGAAAGGCTGGCCCAGCGATGTCCAGGCAACGACTTCTTTTGCGCTGTGAGACGGCCTGTTGTCGTGGACCTGTCGCGATCCAGCTGCTCAGATGTCAGGCATTCGTTTTCTTGGGTCTATTATTGCGGTACTGTTTTGGATGGGCAACGGATAGCAATGGTACCCCACGAGGACACTGCCGCTGATTGGCTGGCGCTTGATTTGTCGCTGTGGCCGGGGCAGTTCAGTCAGCACTGGCATGTCTCAGATGAACATTCGGCTTCCTCCCTTTCATCGTGGACATCTTGAAACTTGAAAGACCATCATGCCAAGCTGGGAGTCTTGATGGGCTGGGCTCAACCTGCGACGGTTCCTTGGCAATGCGGTGCCATCCTCATGGCGTATACCGTACGCCTGGTAGAGGGGCAGCCACATCCGAAGCAGTACGACTTGCACCATCATGATCTCAAGGATGTGGGATGCTTAAGGGAACAGTTGGAAAGTTCTGGTGCTATAGGTCGCTGAGCCGGGGTCCTTGCTTCAGTACAGGCAGCAACCGCGTTCCAAAAGCCATGACGCTGCGCAGTCGTGCCACACACCCAGAGCAGCATGCACTATGCTAGAATCAATAAAACATACAGAAAAAGTTGCAAGAAAGACTAGAGAACTGATGGGAAGGTGCCACGGCCCGTGCAGACCGTTTGGTTGGGGGGCTGGATTTTCCCAAATGGTCCGAAATCATGACGAGCACTCGCACCGTGCAAGGCCACTGCAGAAGCGCACGCGGAGCGACTAAAAGAACCGAGCGTGCTCCGACTGCTCTTGTCTCTGGTGGTAAAGGAAAGGTCTTGAAATATGGAGCACCCTGCAAGCTGGAAGAGACGCCAGAATCCAGCTGTTGCGGAGGGAATGCTCGACGGCTTCCTAGCGAACGGCATCACATACTACAACAAGTACGCCACCCTCAAGGACCGGAAGCGAGGGAAAAGCTTCTATCTCTGTAGGTGTCACAGGCTAAGGGCACGCTGCAATGTGTGAACTCGGCTCTGACAAAGTAAACCCGATGCAAACATCCATGATCTCCGCTTCCATGTCGGCAGGACCGCCACACCATTCAACTGGACGATGGTGCTCACCTCAAAGTCGGAACCATCTGATGCATCGCGAACCCCCCTTACGACCCCTGCCACTCAAACATAGACTTGACATTGGAATTGAGGCCAGGGTGGAGTTGAAACCGTGACTGCCAACTATATCATGCTGGCGGCCGGCGGGCGCCCCAACAACGGAGGATACCCAGGCGCGGCTTGCGTCAGCTGGCTTTCGTACAAGTAGGCCACATGTGTGCACAAGCAGATGACAACTACCGAAAAGTAGATCGTTCTGTTTAGGCTGGTTCCAGATATTCTGCCAGCAGCACTTAATAAACAGCATATTTGTTTTTGAAGTATCCTAGGCTATTGCAACTACTTGCTAAAGTGGCGGCACTACAAGGCTCCGCCTCGAGCGAGCACCTGACTCCTGCCCTGTTTCCCCTTGCATCTCCCTCTCATCTCGACGTACCACACTGCTGGCAATCAAAGTCTTGTGTTTTGGTGAACCCACCAGGTGTAGGATGATCACTGCTCCAGCAGCTACACAGATCTTTGCCTGCTTGAGTAACCTGTGCCACATTCTGACTCTGTGGCCTGTGTTAGTCAACCACCCAGCTGGGCAGAGGTCATTGTCTGTTACCAGGCTTAGGGCGTGCCACAACCCGGGGCGCGCGCGCGCACTGCGCCAAGGGATCGCACCGTTCGTCAACAAAAGCGTGTGAGGTGCACCTGCTCCCTATTGTCCAGGCCGGGTTGTCACACCTGTCCGCCCTTTTCCGCCCACATCTTTCCGCCTTTTTCCGGCCCTACCCTCCCCCCCCCACACCCAACCCTCAACTTTGTTCCCGTTTGTCCGCATTTCCTCCTCCCTCCCCCCATCCCTGTGCTTGTCTGATTCGTTGGTGTTCGGTGGTTGGATACGTTAGTCCCCCCTGCTTCTTGAACTTCCAGCGGAGGGCGGCTAGGACCTAGGACATCGCGGGCCACCCCGATGCTGAAGGGGGCGAGGGCAGCTAGACACTCCACAGCAGCCACCAAGCATTGATTGCCCTGAACTTTCAGGAGCCGATGAGCACTGCATCTCTTCAGATGTTTCTTGGCCATCAACCGCAGAAAGTTTGCCTCAGGGTCATACAAGAGGGGTCCAGCACAGGAAAAAGAGTATGGCTTCAGCTTCACTTCAAAAGGCTTGCAGACCCTTTGATCACAATGCCAGCGAGACGTGGACCGGCTGTTGTGCTGGATGATTGACATGACAAGTTTCATACTGTCGTATCTCTCGGCCCGAAAACCCTTACCAGCTTTTAGCTTGCTATTGTTCTCCCGAAGGGTGGGGCAGACACATGGACGGCGAAGGTGACGGCGAAGGTGAAATGGATTTCCCCGTTCCGGGTGAGCGTGAAGCCCAACACGTGTCCGCGTGGGTGCAGGAGTTTTCCAACATAATCGAGCTACAGCTGGGCCTGCTCCACCGCATTGCGGCAAGCGGCCTGTGTGGCGATGAGGTGTCGTCCTGCAACCTGGGCACCGAAATTCCAGGTGCTTTACTACGTGCCCAGCCGCAGCAGGTGCCGAGAAAGAGTGAGCCGGGTAAGGCTGACTTACCAGACTTGCTGCCCACCAGCAACCTCTCCTTTTCGCACAAGGGAAGCATGGGAAGCCAACCCAGTATGGCAGCCATCAGTGAGGAGAAGGTTACCATGGAACGCCTTGAATCTGATGTCTTCGGTAGTTCAGCATCAGAGCAGCTCCGTACCCTGCGCAGATCACTGGATGAATCTTTTAAGAAGGAGCAGGTGCAGATATTCGTGGAGGGTTTGTTGAACCCAGACTGGATCGGCAAGCTTACTTGGGACTTTCTTGTTATGTTCCTGGTGCTGATGGATGCCATGATCTTGCCTTTCCAGCTTACCTTCAAAGAAAACGCAACGGGATCGGATGAATTCGACGTAGCATGGCTATGGATTACTACGGTGGTTTTTGCCTCAGACATCATCGCGACGTTCAACACCGCATGCATTGCACCACAACTGCCACCTGGCACCTTTGAAACAAGCAGATGCCAAATCGCGAAGCAGTATCTTCGGGGCTGGTTCACCATAGACTTCGGAAGCACGATCCCCTGGGCACAGATTTCAGAGGCGATTTTTGCAAATGCGTCTTCTTCCTCCCTGACACGGCTTACCAGAGTGGTGAAGTTGATCCGGCTGTTGCGGTTGATGCGGATGCTTCGCTTGGCCAAATTGGCCGTGATCTGGGACAAGATAGAGGCCAAAATCGGCTCGATATTCCTGATCCAGTGCATTTCGCTCCTCAGAGTGTTAGGAGTTGTGGTGGCCATGTGCCATTGGAGTGCCTGCTTGTTTTGGCTTGTGGGGTTGCCGACCAACCTTTTCACCGAGCTGATGTCCGATGAAGCACAAGCACAGTTCCTGCGCCCTTTTTAGATGTTTTCGATTTTTGAACATTCCTGGGAATGCCAGTGTACCAGGTCTGAATCTTCACTCCCACACTGGCAGCCTAAATCCATCAATCTAGGTATCTCCTGGGGCCTCACTGGACAACCGTGTGGAGAAGACATGATGTGGATTCCATGCCGTGGCGTTGGCTGGATCGGAGCATGTCAGAGACTTACATCTTTTGCTTCTACTGGACGCTGCCTGGATGTTCTTTGGAACCATTGTTCTTAGTTTTCGCTGCGCCGCTACGTAAACAACATACATAGATTGAATAAGCACATGCACATGTATGTAGCTGAGCAGAGACGTACACATTCTGTGCACATGCAATGCATGTCCCTTTGCACGTGCTGGTGACATGTCTGTGCGTTTGGAGTAATGTTCGTTCAGGTTATTTCACGTAGATGCTGCCTGTGGCTCTTTTTGTTCGTTTGTTTTCGCTCGTTCGTTCGTTCGTTCCGTGTCATATGTGTGGCGTGAACAGATGGCGTGCTAGCGCCTTAAGCTGTTGGCATTGTGCTGTTTATGTCTTGTCCACCTCTATGATGATGCGTAGGTTGTGGTTCGTACGTTTTGCATGTCATGGTGGCCTCTTGCGCGTGACACATAATTCACCACATGTCTGTTTGCGTGTCATTCTGTTGTCATTGTATGCTCTTGCTACGTGCCACATGAATGTTAAAGCCTAAAGCATGAAATCTCCTGGGAAGTGCCTGAGTCGGACCCACCAACCTGAAGACACCGAGCCCAACACCCTAGAGTCGGCGAGCCTTGCGTCCTCCACCCCCACTCAACGATCTCTCAGCCCAGGCTGGGTGTGATGCGGACGATGCCAGCAGAGGTTACGCCGGTAAACCTGCCACCTGGGGCATTTGTGAGAATCATTTCCGTTCTTTTCTGATGAAACGTGAATCTTCTGTGGTTCCGCTGACGCCGCGGCATCTCAACACCCCGCTTAGTAATCGAAGAATAAACTCGGGGTTTCATGCAACCAAGGCCGGAGAGGGTGTTCGTGTTGATATTCATGTTCTTTGCCTTGTCAGCTTTCGCCATCTGCATCTCGATGATCACACAGGCCCGGGTGCTCTTGAACATGAAAGGCACTTCTCATAGGGCAGCATAAGCAGCTCGATTTTCGGATTTGAGAAGGTGTCCTTGAAGCCTGTCCTCAAGATGCACCCAAAGCCCATCAGTCGTAAGATTACAGATGCCGAAAGTCTTTAAGTTGTGATGACCTGCACCCCAGAGCCTCAACGCCCCAAAGCCACGCAGGCATCTGCAATTTGGGTTAATGGCTGGGGCTTCCGTGCCCCAGCCATGAACCCAAATTGCAGATGCCTGCTTTGTTTACTCAGAGGCCTTCTTCAAGATCTCCGAGCGCCGAAGGGCCTTCCATGAGGAATTCGCAGCTGTCCGCCTCCACCTGCGAAGTTCGAAGGTGAATGAGCAGGTCCTTTGGATTCACAGCAGTTTGGAGTGTGGTACGCAGTATGAATTTCGAGTTTCTCGTTGTTTTCGAACCTAAAGACCAACCAAGGTCCAGGAAAGGGTGAAAACCTACCTGCCTCTTGGATTCTATAAGAGTATTTTGTTTCCAGCCGCCACGCTCAAAGCTATACAAGTCAAGAAGCGGCCGGAAGCCCTAAACCCTAAACCCCAAACCCTAAACCCTAAACCCCAAACCCCAAGCCCTAAACCCTCAACCCTAAACCCTCAACCCTAAACCCTAAACCCTAAACCCTAAACCCTAAACCCTAAACCCTAAACCCTAAACCCTAAACCCTAAACCCTAAACCCTACACCGAGCAGCCCAGGAAGTACCTGTTCAACAGGCGTCGCATCCAGGCCAAGGAGGCCAACTTGATGAACCAGCTCCCCCAGGACATCAAGATGCAAGTTGTTCAGTGCCAGGCTGGAGGGTTTAGGGTTTAGGGTTTAGGGTTTGGGGTTTGGGGTTTGGGGTTTAGGGTTTCGGGTTATTTACGGTTTAGGGTTTAGGGTTCAGGGGCGCTTTAGTTTAGGTGTGGCCTCTCACCCAACTTCCAGGGATTTGGGTGAGAGGAGCTACTGAGCTGTGGCACGGGGCTTCTTTGTTCAAGCTCCTTCTCGCCTTTTAGGTGCTGCAGCAAGTTGACAAGTTGCCTGCCGTGAACAACCTCCGACGTTCCATCCGCCTCAAGGTGGGTCTGTTGATTTGGGGGTTTGCGATATTGCGGGCACCTTATCGGGGTCCTTATGAGAAGGGGATCCGATTACTACTTGGGGTCTACATTAAGGGGGTCCCTTCCATATCACCTCGAGGCCCCAAGGTCCAGAATGACACAACTGCACATCGTAGTGAAGAATTCTAGGTGCATGGTTCAACTCAGCAGTCCATTTGGAGGTCTTCGAAACACGTGTCCCAGAATCATGCACCGTCCTCTCATGCCAGTATTCGGCACAGCAGCCATTGGAAACGACTCTCTCATTGTCGACAGATCTGCAGGTTTGCGAAATTGCGCACACCTGTGACATCATGGACTCTTGGGCTTTCTTGAGATTGGCACCCGGGTGGTTGACATGAATAAAACCACAGTCTGTTCGCCAAGATGTCACGAAAGCTAGCGGAGCTAGGCTGTCGCAGGTAGCAAGGTCCGGAAAGCTGCGAGCTATTGATTGTATCATCGGCAGAGGGGTTGCGAGGGGGGTGGCAGGGGAGGAGGGTCGGGGGCAACATTGATCCTTTCACAAGTGAGGTTCTTGGGGAAACCAGGGGCGGAGGGAATGTGCTGCTTTGGCGCGGGGGGGTCAATATTGATACAATACGGCTTGGGCTTGGGTCCTATCAGAGCAGCTGCGTAGTCATGCTGTTCGGTGTGCAACGCTTGGCTTTCGCTGGCCTGGCCGCGTTTCACGTCAACCACACTCCCCAATTTGCAAGAATGGGTTTACTTTGTGATAGGTTGGGTAACATTTTACATTTTTAAGGGTACTTAAACCCAATAAGGAATATCAACATTAAAAATTAATATTATCCCAACAATGAACTAGTTTAAGTGTTGATGACCAGCTAAGGCTTGGGAGACGGTCGTTCAGGAAGGGCAGCCTGCAGAGGCAGCCTGGGTCCTCGTGGCCGGTCGGGTGCAGCGAGCGGTACTTGATGTACTTGATGAGGAGCCCCCAGGGTTTTGGGGGGGGGGGGGGGGGGGGGGGGTTGGGGGTTTGCTGAGAGCTTGAAACACTCAAGGTTACGTCCTCTAGGCCTCTTAAAAAAAGGACGAGGGGGCCTAGGGAGTTTGAATGTTGTGATGGACAACTCGAATTCGCAGCTTCGGCTCTCCCACCCTAAGAGATCGAGCCTCTGGAAATGATCCCCGAGACACCAGCGCCAGGCTTCGCCCGCGACCCAGGCGTACATGTACCCCAAAGTGGTTGATGCCGAGACACTGGACAGCGAAGAGGTCGCGGTGTCTCACTCAACAGTCATGGCCCTCGAGACGACGGAGATGATCAAGATCGACAAAGTCCGGTTCTTTGAAATTTTGAAGGAGCACTCGTCAGACCCATCCCAGAATCTTGGTCCATACTGGTCTACGTGAACTGCAACTAGAGACCCTAAAGCTGGCTCGGAACCCCAAAGTCGTCGCAAACTATTCCAAAGCCCTACGAAGGAAGCTTGGAGGACAACATGGACAGAAGAGGCAGCTATCTCGTGCCAGCGTATGCATGACGCTCAGCCACTGGGCTTTCCAATGCCACGTATGGTTGGCTTCGATCTCGTCGTTTCCTTGATGCTGAGGTCCTTACAGTAGATGCTGCATCCCCGGTCTCAAACCTTGACAGCCTGTTTGACGGCAGGAGGTGAGCATCTCAACAGTAGAAGCAGTAAAGGCGGCAGCTGATCCCGCACCCTCAACCCCAAAAAGGTGCCCCCCAAAAACTCCCAAGACTCCAAAAATCTCCAAAAGCCCAGGCGAGGTGGATCACGATCGAAACGATCAGCGGGTTGCCGCCGCTGCTGTGATTTCCGCAGCTTAGGTGAGGTGTGGGAGGGTTCAGGATTGAGCATGAAGGGCCTAGCGGCCCTAGCGTTTGGGAGGTTGCGTATCCAGACACGACCCCTGGCTTGCGCTTCAAACTGTTTGTGTCTGTGTTCAGTTGCAAATCGCGAAAGATCATGAATCATCATTTGCTCGACACATTTAAAAATTTGGGAGGCCTTCAGGGTCCTGATGTCTCGGATGCGCCTACTTCCTCCTTCTATCGAGGCTTGTCAATTCCCCGCCTGTCGGTATCTTTCAACACTATGTCCGCAAACGTCACGCAAGGGTTCCGAAAACGAGCGGCCCTGCTGTACGTAGTCGACAGTCCGAATTCTGAATAGCTCAGCTCGGGCTACTTCTTGCCTCTCTTTTCGGATTCCTTCGGTACTGCACCTCTTCTCGCCGGAGTGCAGATTGGCAGCTTGAAGAGCGCCAACAGCTTCCGAAGAGGTCAAGTGCAATGCGCACGGACGGCCCCGTCGAAGACTGGTGCTGTCCGAGTCGCCTCTTTGTCTCACCAGAGCACATGGCAAGTACCCAAAGTGGGCTTGTGGGCATGGCTGACCTGTTTGGTGTCGCAGACTCATGGACCTTAAACCCCTAAGGGCCGATAAGGGGCATGCGCATGAGAGCAGAGAGCATCCAGGGCAGCTTGGTCCCGGCAGTGCGCTCCGAAAGGACCGGCTTGTACAATATCAGAATCCATTGGTTCATGCGCCTGGCACGTCTCTGAAGAAAGGCATATAGGCCCCCCGAAATCTCCGAGAGCACGAGTCAGCGCAATCATGACGAACTTCGGTTCCAACCGTTTGACAGCTGGCGGATGGACCAAGAAAGTTTGTGATGTGGCCGAGAAGCGTTAGATTTCGGCTAGTAGGGGCAGAACATATGGGGGGAAATTACAAACAAGGCCACAGTCACTGCAAGCCTCGCAGTCTCGAAAAAGTCTGCGAGAGCTGGCAACTTGATTTTCCTTTGAGCGCTTGGAAGGCCAGGTTGGGCGACCAGGGCGCCGGAAGGCGATGCAGTCGCCGCATATGAAAGCACAGCAGATGAAGGGGCTGGATTGGGAAGAGCTTTGGCTCAGGGCTTTCACACCTAATGGCTTGGGAACACAGCGTGCTCTTTAAGTATTTTGGTTTCATGAGCCTCCGATCCAGCCGCAATTTAAGCGGCAAAAAAACCGACTCTCAAACCCCGTGCCGTGCACGAAGGCGCAAAAAGCCTGCCGCGGGATCGACAACTCCCTGGACTGATCAACCCTATACGTATCCCGCTGGAGAGTCCGAAATCTGGACTGTCCAAGCTTTAAGGACCTCTTCTGGTTGAAGGAGGCGCCTGGCAAGACTTTGGTGATCGGGGCCGCGTACATTGCATTGGCCCGGGAACTTAGAGTTGAAGTCCGCACCACAACGCAAATGGCACGACTCTGTTGGGAAGGTTTCGCGGCTCACGCTACCAAGGTGGGTGTCAACCGTGGCACTGGGATTAGGGGCAAAGACAGTAGAGAGGTGCTGGTGTGAACATGTGAACCACCAGCAGCAAGCTTCTTGGCTCACACAAACGTGGAGATTCTGCCCGTAAGCACAAGAAAACATCTGGCTTGAAGTTGTTGTTTTTTCGCACTCACTTGCAGCAAGAGCAAAGTGCTTAAAATGCATGCTCAAGCCCTCACTCTGTGACCACGAGCAAAAGGAGCAACATGGAAAACAAGCGTTTCGATTACTGCAAGATACTGCAAGGTTACGTGGACATGTACAGAAGGAGGCATTTCAGCACTCGTCCTTCGTGCCTTCGAAAGAGAGCACGACACACAAAACTGCACATGTCCTTCCTTTCCGGGAGTTTAAGGCTGCCTCACCGTGAGCGCTTTCAAAACCTCGGGCCAAGAATAGGGGCTTGGGGCTGAGAAAACCTATGCGCACCTCTACCTGGCACCTGCGCAGCCTGCACAGTGCCAGCCCCCCCCCCCCCCTCCGCGGAGAGAACGCGCTCTGTGACCGCAGGTCTGCTTTCAGCCTGTCTCACCAGTAAGCAAAAAATGCAGAGCATGAGTAGAGGAGGAGAACAAGGTCTTTCTGCTGCTTTCTCTTTACCTCCCTTTCTCTTGATAGCCCTTTCTCTCGTTCATTCTTTCTTTATCTCGCCTTTGTTCTCCTTCTGCCATTCTCTGTTTCGCTCTCCCTTTCTTTTCCTATCATCCGTTTCTTTCTTCGTGGTGCATGGTGCTTTGCTCCTTCTCAATGACAAAAGAAGAAGAGAGAGCAGGAAGGGAAGAGAGATGAAAGGAGGAAGAAGAGGGGGAGAGAAACAGAAAGAGAGAGGAAGCCTTAGACCCCAAGGCCTTCGACCCTAGGCTTCTTTAACCCGGTATGTCCGACCATCACCAAGCCCCCATTTCACACCGACTGACCCGGTATGAAGCGTGCCCCTCGGGGCGACCCCAGCAAGCAAGCAAGCAAGAAGACGAGGAAGGAGGAGTGGTAACAGCCAGGCTTTCCCTCGGCTCTCCGTGGCTTTCATGTGTCCTTTCTTATGAACAGGACAAGGAAAGGCGAAGAAGACGAATACGACCAGAAAGCCAGAAAGAGAGAGAGAGAGAGAGACGAGTATTGCATGGGTTTCTTTAGCGGATGAGGATGTCAGCGGGGGAGTTTCACGCGGCAGGCCAAATCATGGGGGCGAGCGAATGTAATAGCGCTGGACCCAACCGTGTAAGCGCCAGTCGTAGTGGTCTCACTGGACCTGACTCACCCTCGGGCGCGCTTCGTGCGCGGGGGGGCACCCCTAAGCCCAGCAGAAGAAGAAGAGAGAGACGAGAGGAGGAGGATTTGATCTTTCTATGTAGCTCGAGGCATCTCAAAAGCAAAGGTCAAAGCCAAGGTTTAGGTAAACCGATGCATCTCAAAAGCAAAGGTCGATGGAAATCAATGCGTTTCCAAAGCACAAGTAAGCAAGTCGTATGGAATCTCGCCAAATAGACCCTAAAGATGTCTTTCGAGAGGGACCACCAAATAGTCCCTAAAGGTCCATGCCACATAATGGCTTGATCCCCGGATTAGTATCCGACAATGGAAGCTCAAACCCCAAACCTTGAGCTGAAGGCAGGCAGCGTCAGGATCTCAAGTCGCCAGCCCTGAAGTTAGCAGTCCCGCTTGAAGAAATTCCCTTCAGCAAGCAGCTTTCAAAGGGGGTAGTCCAGCAACTCCGCTGATACCGTGTGGTTTGATCATGTGGAAGATCAAACTCCGAACCCGAATATTTAAACCCTGATAAGAAGCCTGAGGCCTCAAGTTAGGCAGGCTGAAGGCCTCAGGTTGCCCAGCTTTAAAACCAAGATTCCCTTTTTTCTGGGGGGGCCGGGGGCGGGGGAAGGGGGGGGGCGGGCGGGGTGGTGAGCCTCGCCGATCCCCTGAAATATGCCACAGGTGAAGCTTGAGAAGAAACCTGAGTGTTGATGGGGTGGGCCTTGTCGCAAGCATGTAGTCGTTGGTTCGAAGCATCACTCAGAAAGACCGCGCGGTTGAAGTCCTTCCTTGCAATTCGTATATCGTTCCGAGATGTGTGATCTGGATTGGGCCACATACTGTCCAGAACTCTCGGGGGTAACGAAGAGGAAGGATCAAGCTGGAGAGAGATCGACTTCGGGCTGTGTAGTTCCAACCATTCACCTACAAACTGAAGCACCATGGCAACAACGTGTATACCAAGGCATTGCGTAGACTGCACTCATGCAGCTTTGCCTTGGATGTGTAGTAAGGAGTGCGCTGGCTTTCTGAATGGACTTGGCTATGCCGGGGGCTCAGCACACGTGGAATCAAAACCTCAAGCTGCAACACAAACCTCGGAGCCTTAGTACTTCGCGTACATGCAAGTCTTACATTCGAGGACACCTGTCAGGTTTTTTTCATCGATAACCTTAGGCTTCTGGGTTTCTGGCCCAAATTGTGCTCTGAGCCGCTGAAGCCTTAAACCCAGTTTCTAACAACGCGACGAAGCGAAGTCACCTAACTTTGCAAAGCGTACAAAGGCCTTTCGGGTTTCGGGCTTCAGCAGAGGATTCTAGGTTTACAGACCTGGGGTTGGCGCATGTTCTTGTTTTTGAAAGGCGGGGTCCGGACACCCAAACAAGCACGCGAAACTCGAATCAGGGGCTCTTGACAGGCTGTTCGGGCGAAGTCTTTTTTTGTGTCGTAATTGCAAGGACCCTAGACGCGTTCTTAGTTGAACCTTGGGCATCCCAAGTCTGCCTCTCCCACATCCAGAACAAGAGACCCTGCCTTGCGAAGGACACGACGGTTATGGTCCGTTCCATGCTTCTGCGCGGTTTCGACCGTCAGTGCGTGGACAAGATCGACCTGTACATGCAGAAGGCCTTCGCGTCTGTGAGCTCAGGGCCATTAGCCCAAGACCATTCCATCCTGCGGAGTCCGGGACGTGTTCTTTGTTTGGGGTGGGTATATGAACCAATGCCGCACGAAGATTCCTGCGGAAGGTCGGGGTGAAGTTCATCCGTGGCAGCGTGCCGGACCGCCAGTGCTAGGGTGTGCTGCAAGAAAGCTTGGAGATTGATAGGGCTTTTTTGGGGGGTTCGAAACGTTCGCAGAGTTGTCTCGCTGAAATGCACATGTACACTCTTGAGGACTTTCTTGTGGAATGCACGGGGAATCCTGATGTAAGCAGAACCCTCCCATCCAGTGTCACCTGACCTGCATACTGGTACATGATCCTGCATTCTAGGCCTATAGGCCCTACTGCAAGCATCTTCGAGCACAATTCCCTGTGCCTATGCAGGAGCGCTTTGAGAAAGGCACCACGAAGAAAGCGCCTCACTCAGCTGGAGCTTGCTGCTTAGGCTTAGGCTACTTATCGAGGTTTGGAAGGTGCTCGGATAGTCTCAGATCAGCCCCCCTTGGTTGTGCTTCGCATCGCATGTAGTGTTGCCCTCTCGGTTTAGCAACAGTACCCATCAGGAGAAGTTTCAAAAAAAAGGGT